TTTCTTCTGTAACACTGAGTTTTTTTCCTTTTTTCTCCTCTCAACCCCTTGCCATCACCCCAAGAACAGTGGGGTGTGGGGGCAGCAACCCTTGGGTTAAGTTGTATCTACCCAGTGCAGGGGAGTGCTATTTCCCTGATATGTGGTGGATGCAGTGATTTCAGGAATGCAGAATGACTGAAAAGACCAAACTTGGGAAGATGGGGCAAATGTTTGAATGCAGTTCTTTTGTTCCAGACAAGGTGCCACCTTCTGTAGAGGAGATGGGGTTTACCAATAGAAGGCAAAGCACAGAAAACCCCTATAGCATTTCAGGGCAAGATTCAGCAAAGTGCTTCAGTGTGTTAAATTTTTTTATTAATTTCCTAACTTTTCTCTTAGCCTTGGGATGTTAGCAGAAGGACGTGTCCAAGTAACTGGTTGCAGACAGACCTGAGTGGAGTCTGCCTTTGCTCCAAGCTGACAGTTCCCAGGCCAGCCTTGAAGCAGGAGCTGCACAGCTCAGTCCCGAGCTACTGTGTCTGCCTCAGAGGCACCTAGCAAAATACCCCTTATCCTTTTACATAGCATGTACCTAGTGTGTGATACTAAGCATAAATGATTTTCCTGTTCTGTTATATCCCTCAAATACATATAAATATAAACCCCATAGAGCCATTCATAATTAAGCACTGGCACGTTGCTCACTGTCTCTTTCTTTCTTTCCCTCCTCTCTGTACTCGTCTTCTCATGTTGTCTGGTGCTTTCTTCTTAAAGTTTTATACGTTTGTATTTGTCATTGCAGATCACTGTACAACAAGTTTGTGTCCTAGAAAGATTCAGGGGTTCCTCTGTAGCTGAGTGCAGGAAACCCAGTTACCTGCCAGCTCCTTCCGTTTCTCCTTGCCTCTCTTGCTGTCCATTTTAAGACTCATCCATGCACTAAGTAAGAGTGTAGTGCTTTTTCCTATGTTGGGCTATTTAGTCTGGGATTAATCTAGTGGTGATCAGAGAATCCCGTACTGTGGCGCTGGACCTGATGTGTATGCATGATAAAGTTGGTCTGCACATGGTGTGCGAGCCTGGTATTTTCCAAGTGTGGGCATGCTGAGGACATGCTAACCAGCCCTAGGGAAGGGGGTAGTGACAGGAGGGCTGGCAGACACGCTGTCACAGAGGCCATGTTGTTACACATCCTTGCATCCAAAGGATCTCACAGCCTTGGAGTTCAGCTGCATCCCAAGCTGTCTACCTCCTTGAGTAGTTAGCCCAAATGGGGAGAGTCTTGGGCTCCTTTGGTCTCATCGTGTTGGTCTGGTTACCCCAGCACCCCGGTTGCACTCCGTGGAGTCCCTGTAGCAGCTGCAGTGCTTCTAGGCAGAGTCTTCTACTGTACTGGGATTCAGGCATCAGCAGTAGAAGTAATGGGCAACACCACTCTTTTAGCAAGTTGTTTCTGTTTAAATGTTGCTGGTAACAGGTCTGTGTGCCAAGGCTCAGCATGCAGGTCCTGCTCCATCTCAGCACGAGGAGTTTATCTCCATATACTGTACCATCTCTCTCAGCATTTCTTACTCTCCTGCCTTAGAGGAGATGGGCCCTAGGATGGGAGTTATTGTTTCCATTTCCACACTGGAAACTCTCTCTCATAAGGGAGTTTAATTAACATGAGTGGTGGTGGTAGATTGAATTCATTTCTGGGTTGGGTCATTGGTTTTGCCTTTTTTCGTCTCTTCTGAGCCTGAACACATGAAAGGAGAGACTGAGACAGTGGCACTAAACATAAAGCTACACACTTGTATTTTTCAAACCATTACTCGGGAGTCTGCCATTGGGCTGCATATGGCCTGTAGTTCATGGGCAGTTGATTGCGCACTTTAGCTTTGACTAACATGTTTTACTTAACAATTGCAACAGGCTTGGAGCCTGCTGGGTCAGCTGCTGATAACCTCATTGCCTTTAAATGTGCAAATACACCCTCAGATGTTTCAAAATGAGGGCATCTGGGTGACGGAGAATTGGAAAGCAATGGATATGAGAATATAAATCCACAATTATATATATATATACACACACACTTACACAGTTATAATTTCTGCTGTTGACAAAACCTTATATGGGCACTGAAATACATGAATCTACCTAAGATTTGTCTTTCATATCAGACCTTTACAAATGGGGATACTTGCAAAAGGAAGTTATAAAGAATTGCAATTGTCAGCCTCCCTCTGTCTCTGCTCTCTAAAGCTAGAGAAGAGAAGTGATTGACGAGCTTTGTTATTCAAAGCATTTCCCTTAACAGCTGAATCCTGTGGGAGATTCCTCTGAGAGCAGCTTTCCTCTGTGGTGGACTCTCCTGACAAGATCACAGACGGCTTTTGGTCTCTGAGTGTCATGATGAACATCTAGTTAGCTCTATTTTTACATCCGAAATATGTTGAAAGATGCTATGGTGAGAAAAAGCAGTACAGTAAGATTTGAAAGTAGTCTATACAGGGTAATGCTTTTGGGGACAGTATGCATTTTCCTTCCCATTCCTGAAATTTCTTAAGTCTATAAACTTATAAAACTTTAATTAGCACCAAGAAAATAGTCATGACCATGCAATGTTTTGATTTTCTTTTTTTGCACGACGACTGAAATTTTGTGCTTTATAGCTTCTCTGAGATGTCCTTTTCAGCTTTGGAATTTTCCAATAGAATAAATGCATTGCAGTAGTTACTGCTACTCTAAACAATTAATTGAGAAGAAAAACAATGATACACCTTAAACTGTTATCCCACATTGACCTGTTCTTCACCTTTTTATTCTGCCCTGAGTGCTGGTACGGTGTCAGAGCAGCCTTTCAAGGCACGAGAGAGAAAATACTTTGGCCTGAAAAGGTGGTTGGGGAAGTGGTTTAAGAGGGGAACCGGTGTCTAAAACCTCAGCTGCTTAATTACTATTTATGGTGGGAATTGTGCAACTGATAGTTTTGACCAGAATATACCTGGGTTCAGAGTGACTGTCACTTCACTGAGATTACAGATGCCAGGTTTCTTCTGGCTCTGGTGTGTAATTGGGATCCTGGCTGGCAGGTCAGCTTTGTTGGACCTGCTGACCGTGCTAATGTGGCCTCGTCACGGCTTGGGAGGTGATGGGTACCCCCTCAGCACGCAAGAACTGAAGTTCCTCCTGTCGTCTCTGAACATTGCCACATGCTTGTAGCTGCGACTGGCTTGCTGTGTCCTTATGGCCTGTGAGGCTGGGTGCTGGGATTGGCATCTCGGCACTCACAAAATGGAGCAAGCTTGACTTGCTTGGGTACAAAGCTGCTGTTTGCTCTGGTTTTGGAAAGCAAGGGGTTGGACATTACTTGTTTACCACCTCTCTGTAGGTAGAGACAGACAGTTCTTAAAAGCTGACTGATCCGAAGAATCATGGTATTAGGGCAGAATGGTGATGTGATCTATTAATTTTTCTCTTTTGTTGTGTTTTTCTACATTTCCAGGAAGGGTGCTTGTGGCCTTCAGAAAGCTTGGTTTCACGCCAGGGTGCTTCAGAGGTACAGACAGATTTCTTATTACTTTCACCAATGTGCTTTCCTCTTTACCGTTATGTATATTTGACTCTTTTCAAAAACGCGTGTCTGTTTAGTAGATAAAGCTTTTCCGGTGTAAGTTGAGAGGCAGGATACAGGGAGCAGCTTTATCATAGTAGGCGTTCACAGGTAAGTGATGGAGCTGTCTCCTTCATGCAGTAGCTGAGTAATTTGAGTATTCAATGGAATTTGGGAGACCAGTTGCTCTTCTTGTGTTTTCACTGGATTTACAACACACAGCGCATCACCAGTGTCTCCCCTCTTCTGGCTGGCACAGATCCCTGGTCTCTGTGATAATTTGTGGGTGTGTTGCTCCGAGTGGCCCAGCTCTCCTGCAACAAACAGCAAAACTTCCTGGTGCTGACCCTGCATCCGTGAGGGTCAGGGGCTAAAGACCCTGCATGCTCCCAAACATGAGAAGAGCAGTTTGATAGACGTAAATCTAAGAAGCTGGTGTGTCTGTCTAGATCTGGGATAGACAAAGCGAGGAGCAATAGGTCTTCACGAGTATCTCAAACCCTTCCTCTTGTAAAGCCTGACCTTCTCCAGCACTTGATGTGTCGGGGACATTTTTTCCACTCGCAGTGCAGAAGCCTTGCAGGTCCTGCCCGGAGGCCAGGTTCTGGCTGAGAACTGAGGAGGAGGAGGACACCTGATACACTCTGGTGGTGAAGGCGTGAGATATGCTGGGCCTTTACAAAATGTACTAAAATGACCATCTGAATTCTTTGGTGATGCAGGGTATTACATTAACTCTGAGTAGGAGGGGGAGGCTCAGAGTGCAGCTGAAATTCAGTATTAGGACATTTTCATAGAACCAGTTAATTGTCAAGACTAGAGAGAAAGTGTTGCCTATGTACAGAAACAGAATCATTTTCTCTTGGTTCTGCATGTTTTAATGTCAGAAGGAGCTGTGCGGGGTCTTGGTCTTCCTTTGTGAAGCTGTTCTCAGGTATCTTGTGTTAGATCCTTCCTGTAACTCCTACCTCTTCTTTTCACATGCATGTGTGTGGGAGCACTAGTGCACCGTATCAGCTGGGTTTTATCTCTAAGATAGGTGGTGAAGAGAAGCATTTTCCATTTTATCAGTTGATCATAAATACAGAGCACCCAGAATGCTGTGCTCAGACATGGGGTCACGTGTCTTTCTCTTCCCATTTCAGATCATGTATGCTCCAAGGTCCAGGGACAGGTTTACCGCCCCATCTTTTATGCAGCGGGACCGTTTCAGTCGCTTCCAGCCCACTTACCCTTACATGCAGCATGAGATTGACCTTCCTCCAACCATCTCCCTCTCTGATGGGGAAGAGCCACCGCCGTACCAAGGCCCGTGCACCCTGCAGCTCCGGGACCCAGAACAGCAGATGGAGCTCAACCGGGAATCTGTCAGGGCACCGCCCAACCGAACCATTTTTGATAGCGACTTGATAGACATCTCGATGTACAATGGGGGCCCCTGCCCACCAAGCAGCAATTCGGGCATAAGTGCAACCAACTACAGCAGTAATGGAAGGATGGAAGGACCACCCCCGACGTACAGCGAGGTCATGGGGCATTACCCAGGCTCCTCTTTTTTCCATCACCAGCACAGCAACGCGCCTCCTTCTTCGCAGAGGGGGAGCAGACTTCAGTTTCAGCAGAACAATTCAGAGAGCACAATAGTCCCCAGCAAAGGCCAAGACCGGAAACCAGGAAACCTGGTCTAAGTTACTCACCCAGGTGCATTTGAACTGAAGACAAGAGATTCAAGCAGGGTGGTGGAGGAAGACCCCCATGCTCCGGTGCACAATGTTGTTACGTTTCACGTGGTACAACTTAGTAAAACCAAACGTGCAAACCAGTTCTTTGTTTCTGATTCCTTTCAGGGGAATTGCGTGCAAAGCAGATCGAAAAAAAAAAATACAAACTTCCATTCAGTTTGTCTATGAGCAGTGTTTCAGGGGAGAGGGGGGGATATATTATTTTTTTTTAATAAACTATTTTAATTATTTAATTCTAAAAGTTAACTTAGCACAGAAATGAGGCTTGTACAGCCTGTTTTATACTTACTGAATGGCAGAAGGAAGAAGGTGGTTTTGCTAGATAAATGGGGGAAGAATTGGCCAGTTTGCTTTTTTTTTTTCTCCCAGGGTGTGGATTTTTTTAAATACGAAACAAAATTCCTGTTTTGTGTGCCAAGGTATAACGTTGAGAACTTAGTTGAATGCAAGGAATTAATTTGTGTTGTGATAAATGTGTTTTTAAAAAGTTGCACTATCTTAACGTTTTAAAAAAAATATATATGAGGGAACTGTTTTATGTGAAGTTCTTCTATATGTTGTCTTTTCACCTGTGGAATAATAATAAAGCTCCAGAAGTAATCTGGAGGAGTTTGCCCCCCTCGCCCCAGGTTTGCTAGAAAAAGGGGACAGGACTTAGCCTAACATCTCTTGACTTTTACAAATCAAGAAATACAGGGACACTTAACTTGTCTTTGCAATAATTTGCATTCAAACAACAGTGCATCAGTGAAGTGTCTTGGAGACTTTTGGATGGAAGAAGGCGGATACGAAGTCCCAGCATTTTCCATCACTTAGGGTTTAGCTGTTTTGCAGTGTAGGCTATTTGTTTTGTAAATGGCAAAACAAAATCCCAGATGTGTTAATTTGTATCAATTCTAACTAAGCGCTGCCGTTCTTTTCCTTTTCATAATGCAGTATCGCCAGTACTTACGGTTTTAGAGATTTTTTGCGCTCGCTGTAGCCTGAAATGTATTTAGTCACATATCATGACATTATGCAATAAATTGTTTAAAAATGCAAGGTGGGTGTTTTCCCCTGCAATGGTGTTATAATACGTGAGACTCTGTTGTGCTTTTCACTCTCCATTTCATCCTTTAGATACTGAAGTTCAGTCCTGGAGATCCATCCTGTTGAAGTGAAGGGGCCCTTGTAGCTCTAACCCCCCAGGCAGTTTCCGCAGCAGTACCGAGAGTGCTTGTGATGGTGGCGCTGGCTTCTGCAGCGTCCCTGGCAGTGACGTGGGAGCACCAGTGATTCTCGCTGCAAACCGTTTTGCTCTGGGCCCTGTTGCGGAAACCCTCCTCCATGCATGTCATCCGGTTGATGCCACCAGGACTATGCTTATGGGTAAAGATGACTCGTGTGTTAACTAGGTGTCTGTAAGCCCTAGTTTTGCCATGCTGGTCTTAAAAGTAGTTGGAAAATGTTACCTGCCTGTAAAGTGGCATGTGGGGTATTTCTTCCCTGGCTGTTTCTGTGTGGAAGCACGCGCAGCGCTGGAAGGCAGTTGACAAATGGTGATAGTGGCATCACAAGCACATGAAAAAGCACAACTTGCACTTAAAATGCATTTCAGAAATGGACTTAAAGTAAGAACTTTTAGAGTCTTAGCTTGAATAGTTTCTAATATATATGTGTATGAGTGTGTCATAGACCTTTTCACTTTAAGATCTTTCATTTTTTTCTATTTTCTAAAGCCTTGTGCTTGGTTATGGGGCAGCAGCTGCTGAGGGCGCTGCGGAGGAGTACCATGCCCTAGTGCCTGGTCCCATGGCTGGAGGCTGGCTTTCTGCAGGACTTCTGTACACCGGGGGCTCCGATAACTGAAGTGCATCTTTGATCTATGCAGAGTTTTAATGCCAAAACAGTGTGCGTGTGTCTGTGTGTGTGTTATGGGCCTCAGTGTAGATTATTTTCTTCATAAGGTAATCTGGTGTTATTCTAGTTGAGAAAACATTTGTATAACTGTTAGACTGAATATGCAGCCTCATTTGTCTGTGTAATTGTGTTTTGGTCTGAGTCACGCTGGTAATGCAGAGTAAAGCTGCCCTTTAATTTATGTATTATTTTGAAGAGAGATGCAGAGATTGTATGAGGGGATTCACTACTGTTCTCCCCCCCCGCTGTCCCAGACCCACAGGACAGGTGTTTAGGAGATGACGAGGTGGCTGTCAGTCAGCTAGGGCTCTTGTCATGTCTGGTTCCTGAGAATAAAAGCTGTGAAATTAGGCTTTTGCAGGCAGCCTATGAACATAATTTTAGTTAAACCCAAACAAAGAGAAGAAAACCAGCAAATGTTGGTTTTGGTCTTCAGTGACTTTTGTTGTCCTTCAGAAGTGAGCTTTTAGGTCAGAGAATGTGTGTGCCTACACAGACACTTGCTGTTGCCTAAATGAGGATTATTTAGCTGAGAAGCCTTTAGGCAAGAACAGCTGGAACTCAGTTGTCATGGCAGAGCACATCTGGACTGGGCCCTGGGCTTGGACCAGTTGAGTACCAGCTTCTCCCCATGCACGGATCTCAGCAAAGTGAGCCTTGAAGTTGCCTTTGAAGTCACCTCTTAGGAACATGCTTTCTTTGAAGACAGCCCTTTGCCATCTTTTGCCTTCTCTGCATGCCAGTGGGTTTACGCACTTCTCGTTAATGATGTCCAGTATGATGCCTGCGCTGTTGTGTCTTACATTTTCCACGTGAAGAAAAATTAACCGCTTCCAGTTCTGTAGAAAAGCTTTTGGTGGCTTTGTTTTTTGGGGGTTTTGGGTTTTTTTGGTTTTGTGTTTTGTTTTTTTTTTTAAGAACTTAGTGCATTTCCTCTTGCATCTTCGCCTTCTTATCGTATTCTGCTGTCGAGAGCTCATGTGCAGCCAGTGTACCCGTCAGCTCTTGGAAGTGTCATCACCTGTTGCTTGCTATAGGTGAGCTTGCAACCTGCCACTTTTGGTTTGGGCCTCTTACAGGAGTAAATACGGTGTTTTCTGATGAATATTAGTGATCTCTGATGGGAGTGCCGCCAGTAGTATAACCTTGCAACTGTGTGTTTTTCTGTTTTTTTTATTTTGTTGCAGTGAGAGAGAATATGCCCTTGGTAACAGAACAGTAGAAGAAGGAATATCAGAATTAGATAGCACTATTAATCTTTGCAGGCTTAGCAACGGTGATCTCTGAAGATAGGTAATTCTGTGAAGCATTTATGGAAAACTCCCTTTTAAAATATCCAGAATTAATAAACTGTGTTCCACAGCCACTCAAATGAAGCTTTGTAAATTATAAAAAATTTCTGCAAACATCGTAGAGTTAATCATGTAGATTATACCTCCATACTGGTATTTTGGTTTGTGTGTATCATGCATAAAACCCACATACCACGTGTGTGGAGTTTGCTATGTAATGGATCATATCGGCCTGAATTCTGGTTGCATTTCCTGTCCTCTGCCCAGTAACCCATCTTCTCAAAATCCAGTCCAGTCATGCCACCACTTTAGAAATTTTCAAGTTAAAAGACTTTTTTTTTTTTCCTAAATGTACCTTTAAGAAATAAAGCATTATGACCTCTATCCTACTGCAGAGGTTAATTTTTCCCCTATTGTGGCTTGGCATGGCTCCCTTCTTGGTGCTTCATATGCCCCATCTTTGGTGTTTTCTGTGATCTTGCAGGGCTGGAAGAGGCAGAGGTTTGGCCATAGAACAGAGATTTCTCTCCCAGTTTCCCAGGGGAGCACTCAGCTCTAATTCCTGATGTACATTTAGTCTGATTGTGGTTGGGTTCCTCACAGTGCTGTACAAGCAGCCTCTTTGTATGTGAAGCTGCTTTAAAGGTGTGAGGGAGGAATATGACGACTGGTACTCGGCCAGCAGGGCAGTGCTCGGATCCCTTTCCTGTAGTGGCATATGCGGAATTAACGGTATTTAGCGCATTAGGTTGTTCTGTCAGGGAGGACCTACTTAAGCTACTGATGAACTCTGCAGTTAACACAGTCTCAGTCTGATGTCACTTCATTACAGCATCCTTTTTCCTTGTAAGTAGGAAAACTCAGACACATGTCCCATGTAAAAGTTCTTGATGGCTAGTGAGGAAGGTATTTACATTCCTGCAGTCGTGGAATCTGCAGGAACCAAGGGTCAAGCTGTGCTCCTTTTGGCTTTTTTTTTTTTATTGCTTGCCTACTTCACCCACCAATTCATCCAGCTGGAAGCTGGTTATGTTATCCCAAATCTCTGAATTTTTGTCTTGCAGAAATTAAAAAAAAAAAAAGGTGTTGCTGAGATATTCCCCCCCCTCCCCACCATGAACGCGGCTCAGTGAAGAGCAGGGAGTGTAATGACATTGTTTCTGAAAGAATGTACTTTCTTTGTAACGGGGAAGAAGGCCTTGTCCTGCTGGAGAGTGCTGTGCATAGGCTGTCTGGAACAGCGCTGACTGAAGCCGCCATTTCTAACCCTGCCAGGCAGTGAGGTAGTGGACCTGAAAGTTGACACGCTGATCTGTGAGGAATGTCTGAATGGTTTGGAGATTGGTTACTAACCTTTCTCTGACTCTGAGTCCTGAAAGCTCATGGTAACTAAGGCGACCTGATTTCATAGGCAGAGAAAAAGAAAATAGTAGGCTGGTGAAAAAAGATCTGTTCCGAAATTGTTCTTTGCTATTTTTTTCCTTCTTTTTCTTTCCCCTAAGGATAAACAATAGGCTTGCTGGTACAGTGGACAATATTTAGGATTGTTCCAAAGTTCTCTGTGGTCATTACCATTAAGTCATGTCCATGCATGTGTGTGTATACATACCTGTGTGCAAACTTGTGCCTGTATCCTACCCTTTGATAATCTATACATTGGTTACTACTCCATAATCACCTTCTGGAAGTGCTAAACGGCTGTATATTGTGCTCTCAGGAACAGTGACAAGTCATTTGTCAAACAGCTGGAGGAATGAGGAGCATTTGCTTTTCCCTCCTGTAAATGTCATGTATTTATCAGTTGGGGAGTTTCTTGCTGCACAAATTCTTGCCCGTGACCTGGTGCACTAGTGCATCTTCCATCCAACAGCGCTCTCCGTTTGGGTGAG